CTTGTTCACGGCGACGATGGCGATGTGGAACAGCGGGAACCTGCTCCGATACCAATGAAATCAGACTCGTCTTCTTTGACTCGGCATGCATGAAAACAGATGGCAATCACACTGGCGACGAGCACCCACACAAAGCTCAGAGATATCGTGGCCAAGAACACAGTTCAGATTCAACTTGCTTCGAATGGCTACGGCGCCTGTGCGCCGTCACAACAGCTTTCCATGCTGTATCCTCAGCAACTATTCAGACGCACGCCACTCTGGATCTTACTGGATGTCCCACACACGCACACAACTCACTGCACACTCATACACAAACACGCTGTAGACTGACTCTAACTTGTGGCAGCTATGGCTGCGCTCTAACTCTACCACTAACTAGCGGCTCTGACCGCTTCGTCTTCCTCGCAGCCCTCTTCTCCCTCGGGCACCTGCCGACCTCCTTGCGCAAGCCGCTCTGGCAGCGCGTTCGCACGGCTCGTAGTCTGAATGAATGATTCACTGGGCACTGCGTCTTGCTTTATACTCGGTTGGTCGCTGGTCTGCTCCTTTCCACCGGACCTAGGGTGCACACAGTCCCACATGGTACTTGCTGACTGGACAATATGCGACAGGGACTGGGTGCCGCTGACTAGACGAGATTGCACTGCCCACTTGCCCACTTGCCTCTGGCCTGACTCTGATGACTCTTGAAAGGCCACTTCCGGACCGTCCGGAAGTCTGTAGACTTGGCCTTTTGGGACTAGCAGCTACGACCTTGACCTTTTAGGACTGTAGCAGCTACGACTTCTACACAGCTATGACCCCTCCTTGACAGACCTACGGTTCAAAACCCGACAACTACACAGACCTAGGACAGACTACAGCCAATTACAAGGACACAGGTCACGGGTTCAAACACACAGGGGTCGACGTGGTGCTGTACACGTGTGAGGACAAGGTCTAGGGATCGAGCCCTGGGATCTGCATCTGCTACTGCAAAGGTGAAAACCATTTCATATAGCTTGATCCGCAAGAAAAAGGAAGTGGTTCCATCCCGTCCAAGTTTGGCCATCGAACTTCAGTGTCGTTGTGGACTTCTACAACGTCTCATTTATTTGATGTATTGATTGTACAAATGAGCATTTCATACGGTGACTCAAACGGTCGCCCCAAAAATAAGAAAAATCAGAATGTGAATTCATTCTATTTCGCATTTTGCTATTTAGTGTGCTAAGTTCAAAGCAAATTTTACTTTACTATATTAAGTTATAATGAAAAAATTCTAGTCTAGGCTGTTTTTCCGGGCGCCCGGGCACCCAACTTATGCCCGGGTGCCCAGCTGGGCATGGCCCCCGGGCAGGGTTTCCGGACAGCTCCAGGGCCAAAAAAAAAAAAAAAAAAAGGAAGTTGTGTAGAATTGCAATACAAACGATTTTTGGTTGAGGGTCACATTAAAATTCCTCACAGAATCGAAGATAAAAAAAGAAAATAACATAATCACACTAAGGCACCCCCCTTTAAACCTCTTTAGCCCCTTCCAAACCAATTTATACCCCTCTCCACCCCTCTTGACAACCAACTTGCAACAAAAGAAATGAGCCCGGATTTGGGGTCCTCTGGGAGAGCGCAAAAAAAAAAAAAACAATTTTATTTTATTATTATTATTTTTTTGCACGCCTGGGTGCCCAGCCGAGCGTGAGAATCTTCATAGATTCTAGTAGCTTTTAGCTTTGTGGGTTTTGTTATATTTAGTCAAACAACTTTTGGCGAAACTTTCAAGGCTACTTTGCGTTCTACCCACTGTAAGAGTTTGAGTTTCACAAGACCAACAATACACTACGTTCGGAGAGCAGTTGTTATGACCGTCTACGCTCGACTCTTTCTTCGAGCCGAGCGGTGGAACTCTTGATTCTATTCGTGTTTTAATGAAATTATGTACCCGCAAAAAAAAGTCGGGAAATCCTTAAAAGTGTTGAAAATGCGCTTGTACATGAAAAATATCTTAAAAATGAATCCAAAAAATTTGATTAGTCAAAGAAATTGGCCAACAATCATGAAGAAAAACAACAAAAAACTACAAAAAAAAAGCCTCAAGTAGATCAATTTACATATTTCACGCAATTCCTTCGGTTATGTGTATTTTTGTTCTTAGAATGATCTTAGAACCTATTTATGAACCTCGCTTTTCCACTTATTCACATGGCTTCAGATCGGGACGTAGTGCACACACGAACCTTAATGTTATAATGGGTACCTTTCATGGTGCGCAATGGTATATTGAAGGATCCCTGGAGGCCGAAGGCCCTGGAGCCGTAAACCATGGAACTTTGTATAAGATCATTCGACGAACAATCCGAGATAAACGGATTCTCAAACTAATCCGTTCAGGACACTAGCTTTTTTTCATATGCCACACGAAGAGACTGAAGAGGTGACCATAGGTGCCGCCAGACGGCGACTCTTCGGCCTTAGTCCCCTACTATCAAATATATACCTTAATAAACTCGACTACTTTATATAAACAAAACCCTAAACGCAAAACAAATGAAAGAAAACATGCCCAAACCCAAAGGTGTCGTTTTTTTTCCGGGTCATCGCTATGTATCTTATCATATACTTGCAAACAAAACACGGTATTGCTTATATTCAATCAACTTTTAAGTAACACTATAATTACCATAACTGATCATTTGCGTATCGCACATGGCTAAGACGTCGAACATTTGCGTTTGCCACTTCATGCTTGTCGTATTGCTCCTTTAGGGTCTCATGTATGTATTTGTCCCATTGATGTAATGTAATGTTACATAGTAGAGGCGTTCGCAAGAACGTAAGAGAATATCCAACACTTAAAAGATTTTTGGACTAAGCTCATAATTCTACAAGCAATCTTCTAAAAGAATCCACGAATGATGGTTCAAATTTGTCCTTAGCCTACTTACTCGGCAAATTGACCAAGTTGAGTTTCTTAAGAGAGTTGCCTGTTTAGAAGTGGATTCGAACCACTGACACAAGGATTTTTATTCCTCGCAAAGTATATGCCAAACGACTTAATTCAATGTTGATATAAAAGAAGTAAGCACGTTTGACTTCAAAATATCTTACCACGGCGTCAACTTGACCTTGTAATTTATGCCTTCACCGTTTTTGAGCTCGTTTATTACCTCTTTTCCATAGAGGAAAGAAGGTTACGTTTTCTCCAGCTCCAGGATGTGATACCCCAAGATGATGAGGTGTCCGTCGATATAAGCTCTTGGGAGTCATCAATCAGCCTATTATCCCTGGTGCACCTTTGATCCGTTGAGCAAGAGCCCTTTCAAACTGTCTCACGACGTTCTAATTGTTATGTTGACCGCTAGCCCGCTCGAGCCTATTGTTGCTCAATATACATACACTAGTAGCACTCTATGTACACTAGTAGCACTCTATGTATCTCTAGATAGCATGAACTTTACCTTCAACTTGTTTCAAGACGACTATACTAACCGTCTGAAGTTGTTTCACATACACGAGGGGATTGTTATGATTGTTATTGTGTCCACATTGAAGACATTCGACAAAGTCTTCGAATCATTATCCAATGCTGGAATCAAATGCCTAGTGGCATGATCAAAGCGGATGATTGTAAGCTTTGTCCTCCACGCTCTCAAATGAAACAATCCATATTCATCACTTTTGGGTGGGGTAGCGTTGAAAAACAAACCCCGTCAAGGGAAATGTCAAGTGGTTAAAGGCAAAATAGTTTTGTAGGTTAGAACAACGAAATCATAATTCGCATGTCGGGGGTTCGAATCCCTCTTCCGCCAGTCGTCTATCTATGCTTTCTTCAAGCCTATATATACTTATACGATACGCTTGAATTCTCCAATTATTGAAGTTGAATTGAATTGATTGAAAGGTTTGTTTTGAATCTTTGATATAGATAGGAACATTAATTATAATTACATTACAGGAGAAGAGGGATTCCAACCCTTAACCTATGGGTTTGGAGATTTGTTCATGCGTGGAGCATGCATGAAAGACACCTGGAATGACGTACTCATTCGGAGGACCATAGCTTGTCATGAAAGGAAATCTCTGACCGTGTTTTCGAGATGCAGTTGAACTGGGAGTTCGTGAACGCGAGGTGTAGGTGGGATACCAAACCAGACGTGGCAAGGCACAAAGCAACGTCTTCTCTGTATTTACATTGATTACTGACTTACTTACCAGCACATGTAGTAGAACCTAAGTCCAATATGGACCTAACATACCTGAAGCGCACTGCGGACTCAATCTTAAATGAAAATGAAAAACATGAGAGCATACGGTGGAACCAGTGAACCATTCGATCCTTTAGAATCAATTGATTCTGGACTATTAGTTCAGGAAAAAGTGTACAATATTATATGCATATTTCAATATTATAATTTATAATATTGTATATCTATTTCTATCATTAACAAAGTAATAAATACCATTAAAAAAATGGAAAAATGATGAGGACATTTAGAAAAAAGCATATAAAAGAAAGAATTGAATCAAAATTCATTGATTCACTAAAAAAAATATATTCAGGCTTTGTTATTAGAATGAAAACAAAGAAAACAAATCAATAAAGATATCTTTAAATATTTATGGATATTTTTGATTATTTTATTATTTTCTATATTCTCTATATATAATATGCTAATTAGTACCCTAGAGAACGACATTGTTGCTGGAGGTGATTGGAACTTTGAAATTGGAAGTTGAAAGCAGTAGGAATGGGGCTTGCTGCAAAAGAATACATGGCAACGAACTTCACCTCGGGATAATTAGTTTCTTTCTATTGAATTCTATTCCCATCTACCATCCCACATAATAAATGCCAACTTAGCCAAGGGAAGTGTTTCTGATTCCTCAAACAAATCATTTGGGAAATTGGGACTGACCTGCTGAGCCTGGTGGTCCCGGTGGAATGGGGGAGGTTGGGGTTTGATGGGGGGGGGCTGCTTGGGGGTGGGAGTTGGGTTGGGGGTGGGCCCCTTGTCACGCAGTCAGGTGTGGATGCACTCAAGGAGGACAAGTTTGGGAGGCTGGCACTTACCAGGTGAGCATCGCTCTGTTCTGTCCTTTTGATCTGATTGCTCTTTCTAAGCAACTGCTGTCCTTTTGAGCACAGAAAGGTCAGACGACTGCAGTTAATGCACTTCCTGAGCAACTGCTGCCCTTTTCATCTGATTGCTGAGAATTCTGATTCTGAGTCTGTTCTGCAGTGTTTTCTGAGTTTGTATGTGATCTGCTGCTAATGTATCTAATGCCATGTGCCGGCCTAGAGTCCAGGTCTGAGTCTGTGTACGAACTCTGTGGGCCATGTTGTATGGCTGTGCATCGGACTGGGACAAAATAAAGATAGGGTTAGGATCCGGGGCAGAGCGGAAATTTAGCAGAAGAGGCATCTTCGGGATAGAAATAGCGGCCAGGAGTTACATTGTCCTTTGACCTTCCAAGGTAGCTCAGGATGAGCATCGTACCTACTGTCTCCACCAGAACACCCGGTCGTTATACTTGTATTTTGTGCAACTTTCAGACTTGGAAGAGCGATAATGACCAGGTGTTCTATTGGGGTGAAGAGGGTAGCAGGCATACCAAGTGGAGGAGAGAGGAGGAGTGAGTCAAAGGAAAGGTCTTTCATGTCTAGCAGTGAGAAGGATCATTCGGACATCGATTCTTGTTCATTCGCTTGTTACTGTTATTATCATCATTAACAAGGAAATACCCGCCGCAGTTACGGCCGTGGCGCACAGCTGCCCCTCCTCGTCCGACTGCGCCACACCCCCCAAAAAATTAACACATCAAAACACATATACACAGAGCCACCCTCCAAAAAGACACACTCAGGCACAACTTCACCCTTGGGCTAGGCGGCATTATATGGCCCGGTTGTGGGTTGGATTGTACCACTGGGTGGGGCGGCACCATGTGGGACGGGCCATACTGTGTGGCCATATGAGACTAACACACAGTTCGGTCGTACCACGTGGGGTGGGTCACACTGCAATGAATTGCAGTGCTACAAGCGGGCTGTATACTAATTTTGTCCGTGTCATCGGGACTAGATCCCACAACCTTTGTCTGCTGTATTGCCTGTTTGTTTGCTGTTTGTTTGTTTTGAGCTTTGCGGGACTTGATCCCGTGACCTGTAACCTGTGTGTTTTGTTAGTGAGTGTTGAGCCCTATGGGACTTGATCCCTGAGTCTGTCACTAGTAGTCTCTGTTTGGTAGCCTTAGGCCATTCGGCCTTTTCCTTTTCCCTTGTCATAGGTCTAGGTTCCCTTTTCGCCGTTTCCATCTAGATGAAGATGAGCATTGGGTTGTTGCATTTGGAGTCCGTCGTAGGCCTAGGCTGAGCGTAGAAGTAGCGGGCAGGAAATTTGGTTTTGGTCTTTTCACGTTTTCGTTGGCTGGGGAAACTCTGCCCGTCCGTTGTTTGAGCGCCGCTGCTCTATTTTGGGCAAGGTCATCTTCTTCTTCGAAGCCCAGCCATAGCTGGGGGTTGGGAAACAACGTTGAAGATCGCTGTGGCATACTGCGTAGCTACACGGGCCTGCAGGGCCCATCCCGCATTCTCAGCCTAAAAGCCTAGAAATAAGGGCTTACAGGCCCCGTGTCGTTTCAGCCTGAAAGACTGAAAACGAGGGCCTGCAGGCCCTATGTCGTTTCAGCCTAAAACAGGGCTTTTCAGCCCTGAGGCTTTTCAGCCTGAAACGGAGGGCCACTTTCGGGCCCTCATAAGATCGACCTACCCTAACACTCAGGCACAAAACCAGGGTTTCGGGAACAGGCTATTTCTGGCCTGTTCCCACGACAGCCTCAAGCAGGAGCTGCAGCGGCAGCCCCTGACTCCCTTCGGCATTGGCAAGAGCAGCCTCCTGGACTGCCTCGCCCTGCAGTCAGGAGGCAGGCCGAGAAGTACATAGGGAGTTCCCATGCACTTCACGGGTAGGTAGTTGGACAGAAGGCAGGAGTAGTCTTCAGGATTCGGCCGCAGCACTCAGGAGGAGCGCTGCWGGAGTAGCTTAGCGCTAGCAGTAGTCTTCAGTGCTGGGCGCTAGTAGCCATAGCAGTAGTCTTCAGCGCTGGGCGCTAGTAAGTGGTAGTAGTAGTATTGGGGAGAGATGGCTGGTGGAGGCCAGTGAGACTTACCTGTGGTGCCATAGCTCCAGCTCCATCTTCGAGGTACCTGCATCAAGGCGCCAACTTCACAGGTTAGTACCGGACAGAGAGAGAGAGAGAGTTCTTCTTCTTCCTCTTCTAAGTCCATCTCTTCTTCCCCTCTCACCACCTGACTTCTCAGTATCAGCGGACTACGACAGAGAGAGAGAGTTGTGACTTGAGACTTGACGACATTGGATCCAGASTCGACATTGGGATTCAGACATTTTGACGAGGGACTATTTGGGCCTGTGCCGAAGACTTGGTGTTGACGACATTCCCATCTTCCCCTCTTCTTCGTCTAACCCCCCTCTTCTTCGTCTGTGTATGGTTGGGGCCGGCCCATTCTTCCTGTGTGAGCGCCAGACTCCTTCACACCATGGAGTGATGATGATGATGTATATTCGGGGCTGCATTGCAATATTGATTGTTCGGATCATTGGTATTTAAGTTTTCCGCTGCGCTATCTTGTACTTTGTTAGAGAGGTCGGTTCTTGTTCTGGTCTGCACCGTTACAGTATGCAAGAATCGCACTGCTGCTATTTTGCAGCTCTGCATGAGAGCTTCCACAGGACTGTGTTTTTGGGTTTGGGTGCTGCCATTTTCCACTTGGAAGCCATATCTGATGTTCCTCCTCACGTGGAACTTCATCTTCTTCGAAGTGCTGGATCGGTTGTCTCCTTCTTCATCAGGATGTCCAGCGCTGCACTTCCGTGCGGGCGCTGAGCTGGCGCTGCTATCATTGGGGTTGCTTGTTCCGATTGGCACGTTGTGACAGCTGTGGGGTTACTGCTGCCACGGCAGCCATAGCCAGGGGTATGAGGTGGCGAAGAGGAAGAAGAAGACTCCTGCATACTTCGTTGAACACTTGTTTTTGGTTGTTCGGGGTTGTTGTAAACGCGGTTGTGGTTCTTGAAACAAGTACTCTGGATTGATTGGAGGAGGACGAGGGATTGCAGAGTTGAAATTCTTTTTTCAATTCTGTGTGTATTTTGAGCTTCCGCTGTGCATATATCTTCTCTCCGGTTTTGTGTGGATTTGCTTCCCCCGAGTCTACTCTGCAATTGCATGCGTGTATGGGAACATTTGAATTCGTTGTGGATTGAAGTTCAATTGGATACATAACATGCTTCTGCTTCTTCTTCTGCTTCTTTCCTCCATTCATCTTCTCTCCTTGACTCTTATTTGAGTTGTGATGAATGGCATTGTCTAATATTTGAGTTTGGAACATGAAATGGACACAGGATCATAGCACCTGTCACCGGCCCATGAGCCACGGCTGCCTCTATGGTAACTTGACGCGAGGAGTTCATCGAAGCCAGAGTCTACAGTAGATTTTTAACCAGTCCTGTAATTCTGGTGCTGACGGGCACATGATTGTGGGTATGTGCTGGTGTTCTGTAACTGAATTTCAGGGAAGGGCTTTTGCGACGAAATAACATTGTTTACAGTGCCTGCATTGCAGCCGGCATTCCGTTGGTGATTACCATGGGCGGTGGCTATTCCAATCCTATTGATTGTGAGTTCCATGCTTTGTGGCTCCTCTGTCCTTTGCTCTGAGCTGATCACTCCATGCCTCGTCTGGATTCATTGTTTACCATGACCACGCAGCTGTGTACTCAACTTTCAAGTCATAAAATGATAGTAAAATGATAATAAGATCGGAGCTCGTGCAATGAATTTTGCTCAACTTAACACCGAAACTCAGCAATCCACAAACGGAACATTCACATGAGAGTTGACACCACACTGCAAAGATGAGGCGCAAACCAAAGCACCGAGAAAACACCGCTCATCTGATATAGTATACGATGAAAGAGTTCGGTTTTCCCACATGGCTCTGCCGCTCACAAGAACTGCGATCCAATTCAGGTATGAACCCGACTTCCTTCCTCGCCAGTGTGTCTCTCCCTCCTCCTGTCTCCCTCAGGACTGCTATCGCTCACCTCACTGTTCTCTCTCTCACTCTTATTTCTTTTTTTTCTTTTTCTTTTTTTTCTTTTTTTTATCAAGAAACAGGGCCTTATGGTCCCGACTCCTTCCATTCTGGGGAGCGACAGTCCAGTTCCTATTCCACCGGCAAGTCAAGGCATGATACATCACAGCAACCAACTCACGCTTCCTCCCGTCTGGCCGGAGAACCCCTGAACAGCATTGATTGCTCCATGTTGGGTGGAGGATTGACTGTCAGCTTGCCCAGAGACGCTCTTCCTTCTCAGATCTACTGTTGCAGTTCTGTCAGATTTATCTGTTATACCTAGAAAGAGCTCCTCCCGTGCTGTTGCCCACTCATGTTGTCCCTCATCCCCACCCCGCCCTTACTTGCTGTGATTTCCTTAGATCCATCTACTCCCCCATCCTCTGAGTTCTGTTGAACCCTAAACCCTAAACCCTAAACCCTAAACCCTACCCTTGTTTGGATGCTTTAAATAATAACTTTTCCCCCTTGCTTCCGCCTTCCAGTGATGTGTCGACCTGATACTGCCGTCAGTTATCTATGAGACCCTCCCCACTCTGCACCTTCTTTGATCCCGGCCCTCCTTCCCCTTTTTCCTTTTTCGATCTTCAATCGGCAACACCTCCCGTTGGCTCGGACGGTTCTTACTGACGAACCCAGTTTCCTTTCCACAAGCGGCCCGTGTTGGATTGTGGCGAATGGCTGAGGTGACAAGGCAGGTAGACCCTGTGGACGCGGCCTCCTGCAATCTGCTCCGGTGAAACCCCTTCGACCCCAACCCTTCAAGTCATAGTTGCCTCCTCCGTTTGTGACTGTTGCCTTACAATCCTATCCGGAATTGAGTTGTGCCAGTCCTTCCAGCTCACCCAGTCTTCTCGGATCTCGGCCACCTTACCGCTAATCAGCCAGTTCCTGCTGAATTTCGCTCTCACTTTCTTTAGCTGCTCTTCATCTTCGGGCCATTTCAGTTTGATTTTCCTCCATCTGCACAATATCTCTGCTTGGATAATCGACTTGGACTCTTTCCATACCTTGTCCCGTGGATTTGATAGTCCTTCAATTGATCTACTGCATCTCTCCTTCCAGATCACCCATAGGCTCACCTTCCTGATGAGTTCAAACCAATTCGGTTCCGCCCTCCGAGTCATCGTGGGGATGTTAGTGAGGAGGAGTAGTTGGATGGGTTGTTTAGGGAAAGGGGAAGAGAAGAGGGAGTCCCACAGGGAAGAGGCTCTCGCCCATTAATCTGTCGTCTCCACACAGTGCACCAAACAGTGGACTATGTCCTCTACCGCTCCTGCCGAGCAGACTGTACATATCTCCGAGCTATCCGGATTAGTAGCTTTACGCCTAGTGTGCAGCCACTGGTTCACTGGTAAGGCAGCATACGCTATCAACCACTGCAGACTTCTGATCTTAACTGGTCTGATCTGTGCATATTTTTTCCATGGGATCTGTTGGATTTTGTCGGCTTCCTGTCCCTCCAGCTTTCGCCATCTGTTTAAGATAATGGGATCTGGGTCTTTGGTCTTCAGTAGTAGTCCGTACCCAAATTTAACGGTATAGTCTTGAACCGGAGTTTTCGTCTTGACACTCCGATTGCTGCCTGAGGTCCATGCCCACTCTTCTGGGTCAAATTCTAAGGCTCGGATAGCGGTATCTGGTCTAAAAATGGACTTCGGCCATGTGCCTATGACCCTGACCTTCCTGAGGAGAAAAAAATCTAGTGTGGAGCATTCGACTTCCCGATTATGGATGGCTGGCATATCTGAGCCCGTGGTGGATATCGGGAAGGAATGGAAGACGGCGTTGGTAGGTGAATCACGCTGCATGTGGGAAAATTGGTAGGCTCTAGTAGGAGGGGTGTCTTGGATCAAGAGGCCCCAGTCCCCGGCTCTCCACGGCTTATCCTTGGCAAGGATGTCCTTCCATTCTTGCGGGATACGGCTAATTAGGTACTGCAAGTTGGTTTCTCTCCTGTGGCATCCTTTCAGTTGTGCATTAACCTCTTGCTCCGTAGCCCAGTCTTTTCTATCCTCTTCCCACAAGTGGTCTATCTTCCAGATCCCATTCTTGACCCATGACAACCATTTTTGTTCCATATATATCGGATTGTTGGCCTCGTTTGTTATCCATTCATTACCAAAAAGCGGTTGTCTGAGAATTTCGTCTTTCGACTTTGGTCTGTTGATCCTGGTGGGACAAATTCTCCTCCAGAGTCGAAGCAGCACCAGCCAGTACGGGGAGTGAGGTCGGACATCTTCTGGTCTGTTATTCCTAGTCCGATTCCTGTGTCCCGTTGTTATCCTCCATTCCTTATTCATGACCCAGAACAGTCCTGACATATCGGGTGGGGAGCGGGTAGGGGCCACCGCCCTGATGCTGTCTAATGCCAACTTGTTCCAAGCGGTGTCTGGATTTGTCAGCAGTTTAATGATCCATTTTATTTGCAAGGCTTTGGTCTCTGTCCTCGGGTCAATGAGGCCCAGGCCTCCGTTCCTAGGACTCCTTGTGACATAGTGCCAGGCTATTCTCACTCTTATTTCTACTAGGATTGAAGCCTGAATACGCCGGCATCGCACCACGTCAGATCTCCACAGCTATGTCCGCCTTCTTTCCCACCGGGCGGGCGCTTGCTCCTCCAGCGCCAATCCTCCACCCACGTCGCAAGCAATCAGCAACGCTTCCGCAACTTGCGCAAATGAACAGATGTCCCCACCTGTTGGTGCTGTTGGACTCTTATACTTGCTGATGCGCCTTTCTGCCATCTTCTGTTGGTTATGGCTTGGTCCCCTTGCCTTTGTTTGCTGCTTCTGGAAGCTATGGGCTCTCCTTGGATCCGGCTGCTTTGGGTGGACTGGCTGACGCCTGGCCTAACGACTCTGGTGATTGGGGATGAAATCGGTGGTGCCTTCCAAAGACAGATTCCTCAACCCATAACTGTTCTCTTCTAGGGACTTCCTACGACGATCTACTTAACTAGCCTGCCGTGGCCTCTGCAGCCGTAGTACAAACGAAAATGACTCTTTTAGAGTATTCTAAAAGAGTACTGTACAAGTGGCTGGGACCCCTAATGGAACACGGAATGGGACTTGGGGATGGAGACCTGGGACTGGGACTGGGACATGGGACTCAGGACTGGGACCTGGGACTTGGGCTTGTCTGCAGCGTGAAATCCTTTCACTCGAGCGCCCACTTCGTGTCCTGGCCTTGATTGAGTGCTCGGCAGACTAACCCAGGTCCGTCAATTTAGGGCGTCGCCACACCACTCCCGAAATGTGCAAATCGAGAATGAACTTCCGGCTAGAACATGGCCAGATGCGCCCGCCAAATTTTCTGTCTTTTTCACATTTCGAGAGTGGTGTGGCGAGGCCCTTAGGCTCCTTCCCATCTGCTGATTTACCTAGTTATACGCCTGTCCCATTTGACCTGAATGGTTTGTCAGTTCCGCCAATGGTAAAATAAAATAATAAAAATGAGTGAAACTTTTAGACCACATCGGGGATCTGCAAATGGCTGACCAGCATCGTTTGGATGAACCGCAAATTTTTGCCCTACCACGTGCAGACCACATGGGTGATCTGCAAATGACCGACCAGCAAACAGCCTATAAGACATTTTGGGCTTGCAACACCAGCTGGATGATCTGCAAATTGTTGGCCAGCATTCGGCACACCAGCCTGAGGTCCCTGCCAATCTCTGTGGTCTATACTGATTCTTGTCATTCTTGAGCCTTTTCTTCTCCTTTTCCTTTGCTTTCATCCTTATTCCGCACTCCTTACTTTCCCTTTGTCTTTCTGCGCTTTGTCTTCTTTCCATCTCTTCTCTGTGTTTATCCCCTCCCCTTTACTCTGTCTCTTTCTCACAGCATACAATTGAGCCGTTACGGCACACGGGGATGGGGGCAGCTCATGCTCAACTTCATGGCGAGCCTTGTACGTAAGGGGGAATTAAAAGAAGAATGATAAAAAAGAACGGTTCCAGTGTGCTCTTCCTGTTTGTCGAATTGTTGTACTGAGAATGCTCCGCTAGGTCTTCCATATGATCATCCACCTCATCGTTACAATGTGTGTCCTCTCTTTCGTCAAGGGCAGACTGATTCTTGAGCCTTTTCTCATCCTTTCCTTTGCTTTCATCTTGATTCCACACTCCTTACTTTTCCTTACTTCCCGTTCCTTTGCTTTCATCTTCGTTCCACACTCCTTACTTTCCCTTATGTTGCCTTTGTGTCCTTTGCTCTGTCTTCTCTCCATCTCTCTTCTCTGTGTTTATCCCCTCCCCTCTTTACTCTGCCTCTTTCTCACAGCATAGATGTGGGCCGTTACGACACACGGGGATGGGGGCAGCTACCATCTTCACCCAAATAGTACGCTCGGTCATTAGCGCTGTTTCTGGACTGAAAGTTGCCCCATATACAGTGAAGGGGGAGTAAAAGAAGAATGAGAAAAATGAATGGTTTCAGTGCGCTGGTCATGTTTGTCCTGTGTATTTTTATCGTTTGTTTTGCCAAGTGTGCTCTTTTAGTTCATAGATTTGTTCGGGACATCCGTTAAAATTGGAAC